TTTTYTATTWACACACTGAGCRCCAGTWCTCAGTCTTGAYTGCATCATACGATACTTTTACCATGAAACCCCTCTGCACCATATACYACCTCATGTTAGCTGAGAAACCCACAGAACAAGTTACCTTTGAGTAGTCAGTGATTATCGTACAAACTAAATCAACTATACTCTATGATGWGATAGATGGACAGCACCCTCAGCATTTGCCTATATTGCCTGTGCCACAGGCCGGCCCTGTGTCCTCATTACACACTATGAGCTCTAACACGTCTCATGAGATCTTACAGAACTGCTCTGATGAGCAGGCAGATCAAAGCTCACATCTTACAGGAAGTCATGTCAGCAGACTGTAATGTGGCAACATCCTGTACAGTATATGTGTCAAATTTGAACACGTAGAGTTTTGGTTATTGTGTTGTTTTCTCCATGACTAACCTGTGTTTTCTGCTTCCCCGTCCATGAGCTGCTTACACTTTTTCCACCTCGCTGAAGATGCTAATGATTTTATCACAGCTGAAGTGTTTTGTGCAWTCTCCGTCGCCACGATCCCCTCGACTTCCTCCCTCATCCTGCCTGGATTTTGAACTGAGCTTTTTTTGTGAGACTCTTTTTTTCCCTTTTTATTTATTTATTTTTGACTGGGATTAATTTGCAAYGCACACAGTTCAAGAATCCAATGGACTGTGAGATTATGTTATGAGCTGAAACAGTAGCGAATGCGTGTTTATTTCAMTTGAGTAATGTTGCTCGGCAAATCCACCGTAACACATAGGCAGGGTAATGGCTTGACAAATCAGATCTGTCAGATTACCAACACTTCWGCCTCCCACGCAGGTAAAGAAAGGTCTTATTCTCCATCTAGGGGAGGGTACATGCCACACAAACTGATATCCTGTCAACTATTTATGACATGAATAAATGCCCTGATGCATAACAATAAACMAGGTAGAAAAATCTAATAAAAGTTGAGTAGGTCCAGGTTGCACCATGTGGACGTACCACTKACAAGGCTGAGTTTACCTGTAACTCCTCAGTCTGAAGAAGTCTCGGAGGAAAGATGACACGTTTTGTCAAAAAAGAAGAACTTGTCCAGAGGRCCWACTCAATATTTTTAATGACATGAATAAGTTTTATTATGTCTGCAGACTAGAGTAATATTTTTTTGCGTTTACAATATGTCACATCAAACAAATAAAATGRAAGGTGTTGCTTTGGCTTGGAACCAAAGCCACAGACATCGAAACTCCTGTGGAGAGGCTAATTGTGGCTACTTCATCATTTCCCATGAAGGTCCARCTCAGCACGGTGTCTCATGGGATGACCCAAACACTTGGTGTGGGAAGTTCACTCTGTATTTCAGTGTCACTTCCTCAAAGTCTAACACACAACTCTGGTACTAGAAAGGAACTKCAGTTTTTAATGTTGTCACAGAGAATACAACGATGACACAGACACAGCGGAGGATTCAGTTTATTGCTGTATTAGCAACTTTCAATGAGGCTAAAGAGTAAATGTACTTCCAACACCTGTAAAAATGGGCTCCCTTTAATCAAAGCTGTCATTACAACAGCAAAAGTAATTTTATTAGTGCCCAAGTGGCTTGAAAGTGTGGCTCTAAGGGATGGGCAATCCTGGTCCTCGAAGGCCTTTGTCTAGCATGTTTTACTTGTTTCCCTGCTCCAACACGTGATTCAGTGATTGAATTCCCTTCCTAAGTTCTGCAGAAGCCTGTTAATCACCCATTCATTCCAATCAGGTAAAAGCAGGGGCAGAAGCAGGATTTTTCTGGACAAGGGGCCATCTAGGAGCCACGATATCCAATGAGGGACCAAATATTTGTTCAACATCCTTGCACACAATTCCACAGTTATGTTAAGGTGTGTGCATTGAACCAGTCACTTGAAACTTAATGTAATGTGAGAAAAAGCTTGCACAGTACATTATCCTTACCAATTTTACATGCATTTTTACTGTTGTTGTKTAAATTATTTATGACAGACACAGCAGCAGCTCTAGTCCATGATTACAGACAGTGCTGTAATACACGTCAGAAGATATGAACTAACATCTTGTACGTCTAGGTCTTCTTTATCACATAATTTCCTCATTATCTTTAAGTTTTAGTTCTACTTCAGTCTACAGATATCTTGAACAAAAGGGCAAATACGGTGACCCCATGCTTCGAGCCTAAAGATGGCTCATCTTGTTCCATCAATTTCTCAAACGTTGTTGGTGAACATAACTTCCTCACCAGAAAACAAGACTAAAAAACAAGTTACAAAACTGATGAACCATGACTTTAAGTTGGCCTTTAAACATTTCCAACACTGTACGCAGATGAAATACTCTCAAACACACAGTAAAATAGGCAAACCAAACAACAAGCAAACAGTGCAACAGTCCTTCTGTTGACGATAAGACATTTCAATAAATAGTTCAGGAATACGGTCATAAATGAGCCCATCTTTTCACTGCATTTGGCCGTTCWCAATCAACCTCCATTTAGCCAAGGTACCACCATTATATACAGTTCCACAGGAAGGCCAGAACTTTGTGACAAAAAAGGCCTTTCAAGACATTTTCTGCCAGATTTTTCTTTAATGTAATATCTCAAAAGACAAATTCAGCTTCCTCTAAATTTGATGAATATTTAAGGTTTTGGAAGACATTTACCTGTAATTATTCAAACTTAGATTCAGCAGTTGAGTCTGATAATAAAAGGGGAATTGAATTAATCAGCCTGTTATTTGTTGGTAAACTGACTTGTGACCTAACTTTATGAGGGCAAAATAAAGTCARTAAAAATCACCCATCTTTCTCCTCYTCATCACACTCTACAGGAGTAAAACTCAAGACCCTTAACATCACATAAAATACAGGTTGGACACCTCCACTCATTCACAGAGAAACATGTTCTGTTAGATACTTGGTCAGAGACCAGGATGTGTCCACGGTTCTTCCAAATCACATCTTTGCTCACTCAGATCACAGACTGACATTCCAGCAGCCAGTTTGCTTTAGATCTGCCTCATTTGTCTGCAACCTTTGACATCTGGCTGAAAAGTGAGCTGGACGTTTTCACGTGTCTCAGAAAGACACATCAAAAACTATTTTAAGAGTGAAAAGCGGCCAGACTGATTGACAAGTGAACCAAGCGACGGTGATGACTAACGGTTTCCACCGAGAGCGCTGGCGCAGAGTTCAGAGAACACATTCAAGCCCCTTATTTAGAACAACAAAGGCGCACTGTGAACCGCAGCACAATGAAACCTTTTCAAGCTCTTGTTAAAAATCTTGTTGTGGACAAAGTGTGTGTTTTTGTGTGTAATTTAGTCAGTGGACACTGGTAATTTAAGAATCCAGCTTAAACTGGTGTAGCTTTTTCATCATAAACAGGTGAAAAAGACTGAAGGATTGTG